TATTTTCTCTCCTTAATAGCTTCTATTTTGCATCTCGGGCCCATCAGCGTGATATAGGTTCTGCTGGCCTTTTAGGTAAAAACCTTGGTCATGCTGAGTCAGAGCAAGAAGGTGCAGGGTAGCTGGGTGAGGTGGCACCTGCCTGTAATCTCAGCTACCCGGTAGGGCAAGGCAAGAGGATTGAAAGTTCAAGGCCAACCTGGGCAACACAGCAAGACCTTATGGCAAAATAAGAGATAAAAAGGGCTAAGAATGTAGCTCAGTGCTTCCTGAATTCTATCCTCAGTTCTAAAAACAAAGTGAAAGCGGCCTTCTTGAAGGTGAGTGACAGTACCTGGGCCCACATGACCCAAAACAAAGGTACAGTGGCTTCCACGGGGGTGGGACTTGTGGGCTTGGAGCAGGATCCCAGAGCCTTCGGGTCCTCTGGCTGGTGTGGGCTCCGGAAGGACCTACAGTGTGCAGGGATTGGTCCTCCTGCTGCCCGAGGAAGTCTGAGCCCCCAGTTCCGCCTTTCCCTGGTCTTGTGTCCCTGTCCCCAGAACCCCTCCTCATGGCTGCAGAAGTTCTGCATCACAGTACCTTGGTAACGCTCTAATCAATGCCTGTCCATTTCTGATCAATATCTGTCTCTGGAGTGGGCACCTGGGTCAGGGGTGGGGTGGGAACCAAGTGTACTCGTCTGGGTACCTCTGATACCAGGCACACAGCGCCACAGTGTATGTTTGTGATACAAATGAATATATTCATTGCGAGGTTTTGGTACATTTGCATATCATGGGAAAACCTGGCGACAGGAGCAGTGGATGAGTGAATGATCAACCCGCGCGCCCACCCCAGTGCCTGGCCCATTGTCTTGTACCAAGCATATGTTCAGAAAGTTTTGGCTGAGAAAATGAGACATTGGTTCTTTGTATAATTTCTAGCTAGGGTGTGTACCTTGGTGTCTTTGAGGCTGAGCCAGAGGGCAGGGCAGTCCACAATGGCTGTGACTCAGATCTCAGGGGACTCCTGGCCACAGCCAGTCCCCAGAGGCTGCTCCTGCGGGAGGCTTAGCCCGCTGGCTGGAAGAGAAGCTGCCAGCTGGGGTCTCAGCTGTCACACTTTTGGCTTCCCTGGAAACTGCTCACTACCTAGACCCCAGCATGGGTATCACAGAAAGCCCCAGACTACAGGACCCCAGGAACCACTGTCCTTCGCTGAGGGCATTTGAAATTTGGCTAAAGGCAGAAGGAGTCCTGATTCTCCGAATGAAGGCAGCCATCGAGGACAAGTGCTAGGGTCGGGGGCCATGTGCTGTGTAGCACCGCGGTTGAAAGCACTGACTTGAAAGTTTAACAGTAAAGTATCTGAGCTCGTAGCCTACTCTTTTACTGAGGACCTGAGCTGTGTGGCCTCAGACAGGTGTACAGTCTCTGTGATCCTCAGTGTAGCCAGCTCTGATACCCACTCATCAGCATGACAGACCTGAGTGCAAAAAGGGCCAGTGGTGTCCCCAAGGCTATGAGATGTCTGCCCCAGCCTCCCGCCAGGGCACCAGGCCTTGAATCCAGCTCAGCTGAGACCCACAGCTCACCCTACCCCACGCTGTCTTCTGAGGCTGCAACGGTGCAGGACTCAGTGGGTGAAAATCAGACTGTCCTTCCAGGTGGAGAACAGCTGAAGACAGGGAAATGGCAGGCCTGGGAGAAGCAGCCGGCACTTCCCCACCTTGACTCCCTGGATCCAGCCTTTGTCTGCTCTGTCAGGAAGGGGGTCCCCAGGGAGCCACAGCTGAAGGTCCCCCGTCACCTCATGTGCTGCCTTGGCCAGACCCGGGTGTCTGGGAGGCCCAGGTTTCAGCCCCAACTGAGGTCCCTCTACTCTAGATCTGACCGGGGCCTTTCAGGGAGCAGAGCTGGGGGAGCTCCCAGAGAGCCCCTAGAGCCCCCTGGAAGCCCAACCTGCCCCAGGCTGCTGCCCCAGTGAGGGGCTCTCCCCTGTGGGTCGGAGGGCTACCTGCACTTCTCTGTGCCCCAGACACTGAGCCAGGCACCCACAGGGCAGCCAGCACCTGCTGCTCAGCAAAGTAGACGACTCCTCCTTCTCCTTCTTTGCCCAAGGCCCAACAGTAAAGAAGCCAGCAGCAGCCTGCCCCGGGGCCCCTGGGCCCAGAGAAGGAGGACACAGCCACTTACAGGTGGCTACTGAGATACACAATTGCTCTGCCCAGCCCATCTCCCCGGCCTGCAGTGGTTGCCTCTGCCTTCCAGTTTATCTTGCAGGCTCCCTGTGGACAGCAAGCTACAGCCCCAGGGACCCCAGACCACCACGGCTCTCCAGTGACCTGCCAACCTCTGGTTTGTGAAGAAAGGGCATGGGGAGGAGTAGGAGAGAGGGCCAGGGTGGGAGGGGTCAGGACTGGGGTTCAGACTTCTGGAATGGAGCAGAGGTCATGGGGGCAAGCCCAGCCTGGGGCCATGAGGACGACAACGTCAGTGAGCTAAGAGATACCAGCCTTGCAAAGTCCATGAGGCTGGGGCCATGGAGGTTACAGAGCCCCAAAGGTCATGGGCCCTGAAGCTCTCTTGGAGAGTGGAAAACATTCGCGTTTCGTGCCTTTCACAGGCTGCTCCCTCTGAAGCATAACAAACTCAGTGACAGCTGGACTTGAGAAACTCCAAACTGCCTTGTGGATGCAACTGGGCCAGCTGGGGAGCTGACAATAGAACTTCATAGAAAGAAGCAAAAAGAGCATCCAAAAACCACTTCTACCAAAGCAGAGGGACAGCTCTGTCTTGCCTCAGGTCAGGGTCTTGCCTCACTAGTGGAAACCAGGTAATCTTCCTGGGAAACCACACACACAGAAAGGGCCTGTGATTTAAACTCCTGAACCACTAATTCCAATCACAGGGCAAGAGGACATTCATCCCAGGACAACCAGCCAGGAGCTCTGCTGGCCAGCTGCTGCCCACTCAGCCCTGCTAGGGCCCCACAGGGTAAAACACAGGGATGGGCCACTGGGTACCCACACCAGCCCCTGCTTGCTGACCAGTTATGGGTCCACCTTCCTGTGGTCCGCTGAATAGTGACCTCCACAGATGACTACACTGTAACCCCAAGAACCTGGATGTACATTCCCTTACATGGCAAAATGGACTTGCAAGCCCAATGTAATGAGGAAGATCCTCAAAGAGGCATAAGAGAGAGAATCAGAGAAGGTGATGTGGCCCCAGAAACAGAGGGGGCGGAGAGAGATTGAAGATGTTATGGCTACGAAGATGGAGGAAGGAGCCACAAGCAAAGCCATGTGGTGGACTCTAGAAGCTTGGAATGGCCAGGACAGATCAGATTGTCCCCAGAGCTCTGGGAAAGGAACACAGACAGGCCTGCTCTCTTCACTTCAGCCCAGTGAGACTGACTGGGCACTTCTGACCTCCAGAACTGTAAGTTAAGAAGTGTGTGCTGGTTTTGTGTTTTGTTTTGGTGTTTTGGTACCGGGGATTGAACTCAGGACCTTGCACTTGCAAGGCAGGCACGGTGCCCCTGAGCTAAATCCCCTACTGTGTGTGTGCTATTTTAAGCCACCATATGCCTGGAGTCGTTTGTTATAGCAGTCATGAGAAACTCACCCAAACCCAGGGGTCCCTGCTCTCCTACTGACACAGCCCCTACCACCCTCAATCGCCAGTTTGCTCTGGCGCCCCCAAGGGAGCTGGGCCCTGAAGTTCTAGGAAAATCCAAGTCAACAAAGCCATGTTTTCCTGCTAGTCCCCACAAGACCCACCTTACCTGTAGGCCAAGTGGGGCCCCAGGACGAGGCAGTCACCAACCTGCATGGCACTTCTCTTGCCCTTGATGAGGCCTGTGGTATTTTCCCCTCCAGTCCCAGATAGGAGTATTTGAAAGAGGTGTGTGAGCCTCATCAGAATCTTTCCTGAGCTGGGAGTGGGTGGCCACGTAGCAGAGAGGTGTTGGGAAGAGGTCCAGGGAAAGGGAGTGGGGCACCAGCCCTCAGAGCCCTGCCCTGCCTGTCCGGCTCCCAGCTCCCACCTGCCCCTCCTCCCAACTCTGAGCAGGCACACTTTTGCTCAACAGAGCTGCTCCTGGCCATGCTGAAGGGATGGGGTCTTCCCTTTTCCCAGCCTGAACACCCATGCCCCCCACACACCCCAACATACCACATTAAGGGCAGCACTAGGGAGACAAGCTCTCCCGGGGCATCTTCCCAGAGTAAGGGGACTAACCAGGATCTATGCCATGCCCAGGGTGGCCCAGGCTTTCAGAGCCTCATGTCTGAGACAACCTATGAAGAGTGTCCCCCTTCCAACCTCCAGTACCTCAGAATGTGACTCTATTTGGACCTGCAGATCGTTAGAGAAGTGATTAATTTATATGGAGTCATTGGGGCAGTCCCTTGTCCAATGTGACTGGTGTTCTTCTGAGAAGAGGAGGGCATCCACAGAGGGAGGACCATGGGAAGAGGAAGCAGGAGGGCGGCCATCAGGTGGCCATGGAGAAACCAACCCGCTGGCACCCTGGCCTTGGACTTCCAGCCTCAGAACTAAAAGAACAAAGGTCTGTCGTCTAAGCCACTTAGTCCATGGTTCAGTGATAATGACAGGCACTAGAGACACCAGGGGCCTTAAACTCTCAGCCCACGGAACTCATGTGGGCCACAGGAGTGAGGTCACCTACCCTGCAAACTGCAACATCTAAAAACAATGGAGACCCACTGTGGCCGGACCAGACCAGCACCTAGACTGGCGCCCTCAACAGGACCCTTGGAGGGCATCCCAAAAATGTCTCGACCCTTGTCTCTGCGCTCGAGTTCCTTCTGCTGTTATGGGCAGGCTCACACCCCTCTCTCACCGCTGCCCTCTGTGCTGTCCCCTCACACCCAGGGAGTGTCTGGCTCCTGTGGGTGAGATGCTGACTGGCTTCCACACGGTTCCCCCACATCTGACGTGATGTGGGAAAAGCTGACCGGCTGCTCGTGATGGAGGGGCACACTCCGCAGGCACCGGTCACTTGGGTCCATCTTTAATTATGTTAAATATTAATGAAAGTACAGCATGACAGTGATTCACATAACATACCTTACAGGACTATGGGAGTACAGTTTCATACAATCCGTAACTTCAATACCAGGTTGTGAGAAACGCTCCATCTCGCTTTGGTTTGGGGTGACAGGCTAGAGAGCCACCACCTGAAATGGTACCTGCGCTGTCAACGAGAGCTGGGCCTCAACAGAGAAAACAAAGGCAATGGATGTGGCCTCTGGAGAGGCCCCTAGAGAGAAAACCATGTCCGATGGCACTGGGTGGCACAGAAGGGGTGGGCCAGCATATATAAAAAAGATCAGTAATGAACCAAATAATATTGGAAATAATACCCTCAGTAATACTTCTGTAAGAAGCAGATTACACTACATGTTATTCACATGCATAGGAGTGCATAAGGGAAATCCTTTGTAATCATGGTCGGAGTGGAATAGTAAAACACACACTGGAAATGACAAGTTAATTGGCAGAGAAATTAATCTATAAAAGCATCCTGTCCAGAGCAGAGGAGCCTCATCAGCAACAGAACTGAGGGGAACCCACTCAGAAAACGCACCCACACATGCACACGCTGTGTTCCAAATAAATACACACACGCACACGCGCACACACACACACACACACACTGAAGTGATATCTCCCTAAAGCATCCTTGTTTCAGGCCAGCTCTTCCTGCTGGCTGCTGCTCTGCGTGCTGGCTGTGAGTGAAAGGCGGAGATTGTCCTTGCACGTGGGTGTTCAGGACACACAGCTCCTTCAGTAGAACCAGGCCCAGCCATGCCTGTGCTGGGGGCTCCATGGGCACCCTCCAGTGGGCTGAGCTCCTGCCTCTGATGGCAGGACAGATGACGCCAGAAGGTTCGGACAGCTGAGCATTCCAGGTCCTCATGCCACCCAAGCCCAGCCTGACTCACATGTACAAGTTACAGCTGGGTGTTTAGTGTCTGCACCTCCTGACTTTGGCAGACCAGATCTGGGAACATAGTTTACAGGATGCTTCCCTCGACAGCACTCAGTGCAATCCTTTATTGTCTTCCTGGCCTGGGGCTGTCCGCCAAATGGATTCAAGCATTCTTTTCAGTCTTACCCATGACTTCCAAGAAACGACAAGACCTTCAGCACATCCACCGTAAACTACATTGCCAAGAGGTCTGGAAAGTTCCATCAAGAACATGGCTTAGCAATCACATTCTACAGCCTAGGATTCCACATTCAGCCCAAGTTTAGCTTGTGCATTGTGTTTCTGATTCAGGACACAAATATCTCCTTGAATAAGGAATTCTGACCACACATGGTGGAGAACATGGATAATAAACTACCTCCAGCTGGGAAGGTGAAGGGATGGAACTTGTGGCCGGCCAGAATAAAAAAATTAAACCCCCTCAGTTCTCGGGTGACCCTGTATACATGATGAGGGCTTCAGTCACCAAGATCGTCGGTGTAGTGCTCAATTCCTTGAGGTTGCTCTATTCCAGCATTGACGGCAAAAATTTCTCCTCCAAATATAAACTGAATTTCTTGAGAAAACAACTAAAGAAGCAGAAGAGAGAGCTAGGGCTAGTCAAATGCAGGAAGCAGTTTGTTTTAAATGTATCCATTTTCTATGTTTAAACATTAAAAAATCGTGAGGGCAGGGTGGGAAGAGGTCAGAGAGAGCAATGTGCTGCCAAAAATGAACTGATGTTTTCCTCCTGGAAGCAGTGAAGTGACCAAACAGGGTTTATTTCTAATGTTACTGAAGGGCTCACTCGGGAGTAAAAAAATGAAAATAAAAGCGACTCCGTTCTCCATAGAGGATGCGTTCTCTGCACAGATGAGGGGGTGATCTGACAAAGAGTGTTCCGAACTGGAAACTGCATGTGAAGTTTAAGTTCTGGCAAGCCCTGGGCTATGATCTCTATCGAGCTGCTTAATCGGGTCCCAGAAGGGTCAAGCCCCAGAGTGGGACTCCAGGACAGGTAGAGCTGGGCTGTGACCTCCCAAGGCCCCTCTCTGCGGCTCAAAGCACTCTTGGAGCAGAGCTGAATTCCTACCAAAGTGCAGCTTCCAAAGGCCTCAGGTGGAGGAACTCTGGCGGAGTCTCTGAGCTACAGAGCCACAGAACATCAGAAAGGAAGTTCTGAAATGGTGCTAATTAATAGGTGCCTGGGGAGGAAAAGAAGACTGGAGTCTCTGGGGTTTTCTCCAGCTGTGAGTAAAACAGCTCCCCACCTACAGAGATTGTTAGAGTCATGGCGATGACAGAGTCAGTGGGCCCAGTGCCCAAGGCACTCAGCTCTCATGGTGCCTTCCACGCAAATGCTTCATCAGCAAGAACCTGTGCCAGCCTGGCATTGAAAGGCCCGTAGAAGTCCCGCAGAATCTTCTGTGTGACCGGCCACATGGGCCCCAGGTTCCGATCCTCAGGACGCCTCACATTGGATGCAGGGCTCTTGGTCATCAAGGCCTCTTGCTTCTCACTTAGGGGCCCTGGATGGGAAGGGAAAGGATCTTATAAGGCTGAAGATATGGCAGAATTTTTGCAAAAATTCCAGCTATGCTTGATGCTGACACAGGAGTTTCCTTTAAGAAGAATGTGTTTGAGAATTCAAATTCTCTGGCAAGAACTATTTGGAGATGAGGGAGAAAGTGGAACTACCATTATGAAATTCCAAAGAAATCTTGCGTCCTGGTGTCTAACACCCACACTCGGCGTCTGCCTGGTATTTTAAGATGATGCCACATTCACCTGAGGCTCACCTCAGGGATTCATTTCTGGTTGCCCTTAATGGCCTGCTTTCCATGGCTCTCAGCCTGTCTTGGATAACTGGGTGACCTGCCAGGAACAGTCCAGGCACTAAAGTTTCCCTCTGAACCAGCCTGCTGGAATTCTGCCACAGTCATTTCCACTATGCTATGAAGAGGCCATAGGGGGGATAAGCCACCTGTGCCCAGAGACTCACCCATGGGACATGCATCAGTGACAAGAGGGCCTGGCATAAGCCAGCAGGGGCTGCCACTCCATCCCTCAGCTCCTTTGACCACAAGCTGCTCACTGGTTTAACCCACCTGACCCGGTCACTGCCCAGGCTTCTTGAGCCCTGGCTCTCGGGATCTGGCCAAAGTCCTTAGCATATCCCAGTGTCTTAGGGTTATACAAGATAGAAAACGACCCTTACTGTCCTTTTTAAAGACAAAGACAAGCTCATTAATCATTAATGTGACAGAGACCATGGGTGACCAAAACAAAGAAAAAAGTGACCACATTTCAACACATTAACAGCTGTCCAAAATAAGGAGAAAGAAAATAAAATGACTAAACAGTCCTGAGTCCCAGTGGTATAAGCAGGTATAGCTCAAGAAATATTCAACTGGCAAGATTCTTAGGCAAGATCCTTACAGAGGGTCACAAGAGGTTCTTCCAGGAAGAAGTATGATTTTTTCTAACCCTGATCAGCCTTTGCAGATGTCCTTGGTGACCCATCACATAGCAGCACTCCCCAACTTTGCATATACCTCTGTCACTGCCACAACTAGTACCATGGCCGGCTAGCACTGTGTCCCGCAGAACTCTGGGCTAAGGACAGACTCCCCCTCCCCAGAGCCATGGCCAGCAGCCAAAACGCAGCCACGCAGCCCTGACTCTAGAGATTCCTCCAGCAACACCTGAGATGAACAGCCCATTCCCTCCTCCACACCTCACGCCTCCTGCCGCACTGTTCCAGTCACGCACTGTCACATGGTCATTCCTTCAAAGCTCAAACTGCTCCCTTTTCTTCCATGAAGCTCCTACAATCCTTGGACAGCTGGGGTTCCCAGTACGGATCTATTGTAAGGGCACTAACCACGGCAGGCAACTAGTTAGTTACCCAGTGTATTCAGCTGTGGCCTTCTTCTCTTCCTCTACTAGACTGCGAGCTTATGGAGGGGAAGCTACCTCCTTTGCCCTGGCGAATCCTTCACCACATTATTTGTGTATAATGACCCATAAGCAGCTGCTGCTCGATAAACACATACTAAAGTAGCCTCCCAGCAGCCCTCTCTGCCCCAGATCGCCACATCTATACTGGACCCGGTGTCCACGGGCTCACACTGTGCTCCCTCAGTCTGAAGTACAACACGTACCCAGGTTCAGGAAGTGGAAGACCCTGTGCATCGTGTACTTGACATTAGATGCATGGTCTTCCAGGCGCAGAATGAGGAACTGTTCCTTATTAAAAACAGTGAGCCAGTCCAGAAGGTATACAGCATACAGCCCAACCTGGAGCCTCACCTAGGAGAGAGGAGAAGGACATTATTTCAGGAAGCATATTTCCAAAAGGATCATGGCATTTCACTATAAAACAACACAGGAGAGACATCCTAGCTCACAATCACCTTCAGAAGTTGCACTTTAACACAACATGCTCCCGTATCTTCATGGGGAGCTTTGCAATACAAGAGCAAATACTCACACTTAGGGTTGCATTTACTTTTGCAACAGCCCCATAGGTAGCTACACACCTCCACATCGTAGGTGAGGACTGCAGTGCAGAAAAGAGGTCAAGGCTGCAGCAATCTGGAGTACACATGTTCTTTGCATGACATCTTAGTTGTCTTCCTGCTCCCAACACGACCTCCATGCCCAGAACACAACGGGCTTGGAAAAGTCAACTGCAGATGTCTCGATGACAGCCCAGGTATAGTAACAGGAAAGTGTGTGTATATATATCTGAATTTAATTAGTATGGAATTAATCCAACAGATGTAAATCCTTTCTCCCTTCTACCTATTTATTGCCTGGGTCATCCTCCTGCTGTTACTTCTGTTGCGCCAAACTGCAAAATGTATCATGAAGAATTAACCTGCCCAAGAGAGGTCTGGCCTTTGCTCTTGGCCCCTGAGATGTGCTTCCCCAGAGGAGTGTTGCAGTTAGCCTGAGGCTCTGGCCACAGACAAGCTAATACTGTCACTCCTGACAGGGTACTGGGCCACATGGAGGGTGTTGGTTCTGACCTCCGGAGAGACTGAAGAAGACTAAAGGTCAGCCACAAACCAATATGTGATCGAGCCCCAAGAAGAACTCCGAGCGCTAAGACTTGGGTTGGACAAAGTCCATGAGTGTGGTCACATGTCCATCATAGCTGAGAGGTGCTTGCACTACCTACAACTCCAGGAAAGAGAGGACCAGCAGCCCTGTACCCGGAACCCACCCCCACCTCCACTGTCCCATGCATTCTTCCCTTGGCTAACTTCAATCTGTACCCTTTCCCTGGAATGGATCACAACCATGAGTACAGCAGCCCTCGGTGTGTCCTGTGAGCCCTTCTAGAACACTGCTGAATTTTGGGGGTGTCAGGGCCCCCTCCAGAACATGCAATTTGTATTGAGTGAGGTGTCTCATTTCCACATCCCTGTTTGGTTCTCCCTTTGTCCAAGACCATCAGCAGCTGCTTGGACCCTCGCGTGGCTCCCGAATGGACATCCCACCTCTTGTCCCTACATTCCCATCCCTTGTCCTGCCACCAGAAGGCATTTTGCAAGGCAGAGTGGGCTGTGGCCAGCCCCTACTCAGACTTCACAGCTCCTCATGCAGAAAACCCTTGGTCTGGTTGAACTTCTAGCTCATCCAGTCTCCCAGCCCAGACTCCTCTTTGGGTCTCCCATTTCTTGAGGCAAAGCTCTGCAGTCCTTCCTTCCTGCCCAGCTTGAGCTGGAGCTCCGTGAGGGCAGGGACCAGGGCTCTGCCAACAAGCCTTGTGCCGGTACTCAGTCTGGTTTTTGGTGGGATTGCTGAACAAGGCATTAACAATACGATGATGAAACATTTGATAAAATATGTAGACACTAACTAGTTTAATCTCTCACTGTTCTTTTTCCATTTCATTATTTTTCTAACAATGTAGGAAGATGGGGAGGAAGAAAAACAATTAGAGGGAATAGATAAGTTACCTCCAAAATTCATTAGCTGCCTCCAACCCACACGTTTTTCCTACCTTACACACCAGCTCATAAAAAAGACCTCAAATTGGGCTGAAGCTACAGAGAAAATGAGTACATGCCAGTCTCAGAAACAAATACACATGTTGCCTAGAATACAGAAGAATGGGTAAGAGAGCACCATGCTGTTCAATCATGGGCCTTGCACGGCTTTGCAATTCTCTTTCCCTGTCCAGCTCACAAGCTGCCCCTTTCAGAGAAGACCAGTATGACTAGGTTTATCTCTTCCAGAGAACCTGCCTTTGTGACTTGAGAAGCCAGGATGCAGGTGTTTGGAGTGGACGTAGCTTATCACTGCTCCTGGTGTGATGATAAAACATTCTCTGCAACCTCATTTGTGCCCAACTTCGGCACATCCCCACACCTTCCTCGCTACAATGGGACGAAGACCTGCAGCAGGACTTTCCTCACAGGCAGGGAGGAGATGCACTTCCTGGGTGCCACACAGCAAGACCTTGTCTCACCTTCCTCTCAGAAAGAAAATGCAGTGCTGAGAGAAGCCTTTGAGGTTCTGAGTGTCAGCTGACTCACTAACAGAGACCCACGGTGGGCAGGGGCCGGCTTGGGGACAGTAGTCAACGCCTGTCAGAGGCTCAAGCACATGGGGTTTGTTCTACCACAGGTGAGTCCCGAGGAAGAGTGAGCACCCAGGGAGAAACTGGGGAGCCCCTCGGAGCAGCCCATGGAGCACTGGAGGGGAGTCCAGAGACCACCAGAGGGGAGCCCAAGGAGCACCGCAAGGGAGCTAGTGCTGAGCTGAGCCTGGTGCAGCCCCAACTTCTCCCCAGACAGGCACCATACTGAGCCTCTCTGGCCCCTACTAAGGATTTCAACTTGAACTCCCCGCCAGTCTCCCAAACTCCCTATATTTCATTTATGCATTCAGCAAATACTGTGAGTTCAGGCCATGTTCTAGGTACCAAGCTAGCAACAGAGATACGCTGCTCTTTACAGGCACAGCCCTGGCATCATGGAGCTTGTGATCTGGTGATGGAGACGTAGCTAAACTGTTAAAGAAGCAAATATCTGTAATCACCAACTGTGACACAAGCTTGAAGAAAGTGAATCAGGTGCCCAAAGAAAACAGAAGACGAGATTAAAAGATGACCCAAGACACAGGGAGTCCTTCAGCAAGCACAAAAGAACATCCCAGGGCAGAGAAGAAATGGTTAAAAGGCTCCAGAACCACAGTGGTTCCCAAACCTGAGTACCCAGCACATTCACTGCAGGCCTGTGAGACAGATGGGTGTCCCCTCTTGCCAGGTTTCTGATTCAGGAGGTCTGGGAGAAGCAGTTTGCATTTCTGATGAGTTAGACCTGCTAGGCATGGCAATGGGGAGGGAGGGCTATGCAGGGTGCCAGTATATCCCCAAAAGCTGCTCCCCACCCCTGTGCTGTGGCTGGGCCGGGATCTGCACTTGGAAGGGAATTTTCTCCCCTTCCCAGAAGTGAAGATTCATCTCCAAGACACCATTCCTAACTTCCTGTGAAGGGAATATTAACAGCAAATGAACTGTTCTGGCCATATCTAACCAGCTGTGACCACTTCTGTCCTCTACACTGTCCTGCCCTGGGGATGTCCCCTGGACCAGAGGATCCTGCTCAGCTACTGTTCTTAGCAAAACAGAAATTAAATTTAAGAGCACATGCCTTCTGCCGGCTCTACACTTTGCTTTTAGGATCTAAGTAGGGAAGGTGGGAACACTGTGGGTTTCTAAGGCCTCCACAACTGGGTCTTGAGCCTTTACTAGCTCCAGGAGGAGCATCTCTGTGAGCTTCTGTGTCCCCATCTGTAAAACAGGGATGAGTTAGGGCAGTGGTGGCAAACCTATGGCACGCATGCCACAGCAGGCACACAGAGCCCTCTCTGTAAGCACATGAGCCAAGTCATCCCAGCTTCCCCCCAGCAGCCAAGCATCGGATAACAGCACACATACAGGTCATGTGCCTGCTGGGAAAGGAGTAATGGCACCAGGCAAGGACGTCACAATCTGCGACTCATAGAGCCACACTGCCCCAAGCATTCACATGGCCAGTCAGTATCCAGGTTTAATTACAGTGTTGCCGCTTTGAAATAAATAACTGGGTTTTCGATTGGAGTTTGGGCACCCAATCTCTAAAAGGCTCACAATCACCAAGTTAGGGGGCCTATGAGATCTGAAAGCAATTAGAGCAGTGCTCAGCAGTGCTGAACAAGAATTAGTTTCCCTCCACTCTTGCAACAGTGGAATTTTTTAAAACCCCTTTTTTCTTAAAAAAAAAAAAAAAAATCAGGATGTTTCTTTCAGGCATGCATGGAAGTGGAGAGAATCATGAGGCACTCAGGAACTTATGGCCTCGTCTCAGTAGTGTTCCCACTTTCACAGCTGGAGTGTGGACTGGAAGGAGGGCGGAAGGGCACATCCCTCCTTGCTGTGGGAGGAAGTGGCTGCAGAAATCCTGCCTCCAGGAAACCTATTTAGAGACAAACAGATGCACATCTAGCCTCCCTGGCCCCAGGTACTGCCTGTCACAAGAGAAGGTGCAGGGGGTGTGGCCCACTCCCACCGTGTGGACTAAAGTGCCAGTCGGCATACAGACCCACACTTATATCAGAGATTCACTCTTCCACAGATACCAGCACAATTCCCGGCTACGAAGGAGACTCTGCCAGCGTCAGGAGCTCTGCACTTTTCCTAGCCTTCCCAATCACACTTAGGGTAGCTTCCTCTCAGGAGGCCCCTGATGCATCCCTGAACCTGATCCTCTCTGCCCAGGCATTTTTCAGGACTTGGTGGCCACAGGGCCTGGAAGACACAGTTCCAGCCCCTCCTGGGACCCACACTAGCCAGACACCATAACTCCCAGTGTGCTCATCTGCTAACAGTGATTCTGACCCAATCCTGCCTTTCATTTCCCTGTCTTCCCGTCAACTCCAGCTTGTGTTGAATCCCATAGGCTCACACACAAGAGAAGGTTCAGAAGGCCAGGTGGGGGAGGAACATCAAGGCAAGAGACACTATGCCTTGCTCTAGGCACACATGACCACTTCTCCTCAGACACAGCCCACCCTGTACCTTCGCTCTCAACCCCCAGGACCTGCCACAAGGTGGGAGTACAGTAGTACCTACAAAATACTGTACTACTGAGGACACACTGAAGTCCTGGAGGATGCTGGGTCATAAGGCCTTGATGTGGGCCCCAGCTGTTCCACTGACTGGGTAGGTGACTCCAGGAGAAGACAGCCTGTCTGAGCCTCAGTTTCCCAGGTGTACACAGGAAGCCCCAGGCATGGGACGGCCTACATCAAAGCTCAGTGCCAGGCTGATGTACAGTCTATACAGGCTGAATCCAGCACTTCCCACCCACACTGGCACATTCAGTACTCTCAGTGGACTCCACGGGGGAGGCACCTGGGCAGAGGACAGCCAGGCAAACAGGATCACCTGGCCAGCTGGGGCTGCAGCACCACCTCAGACCACCAGAAGGCCCTGTACCAAGCTCTGCCTTCCCTGAATGAGGCCCCTGTGAGGGCAAAGCTCTCCTTTGCTTCCTCCTGGATTTTCCTGGAACGTTTCCTAAACTATTAAGCCCCAAGGATCTCAAAGCATGCCATTTAGTAGCGCTCAGGACTTTCCTAGCTTTCTTTGCCTCACACTTACAAATGCTGGCTGACTAAATAAGACCTTCATGCCAGCCAAAGATGTGACCTCAGGGCTATGAACTTCTGTGGATGCCGGAGGCACCCTCTGCGACTCTCCAGGGCTCTGTGGGAAACAGGGGAAACAGGAGTTCTGGGGAACTGTCCTTTTGTGTGGCTTGGCCAGCACATCCCCTTTCTGACCCAGACCCTGAGCCCTGTGAGTCCAAAATCAGTTAAGCTTAGGAGTGAGAGGTGGGCAGGAGGCTACACCAGGCCTCAAGGCAGTCCTTCAGTGGTGGTTTCCAGACTGGGGTGACAGGGGGCGAGGAGGAGGACTGGAGCACTGGTGACGGAGCCTTGAGGTGGGGCTGCGATTTCTTCCAGCACCTATGAGGGTGCCGAGCACAAAGTCTCCATCGGGACGAGGCCAGTCCCCATTTTATGCCACACCTATCATTTCTTTCCTGGACATGGCTCTTCCCTCCTCTATCCCTGCCTGGGTGATCTTCAACACAGGCAAAAATAAGCAGCAGCTGAGAATAAGGGCCATTCCAGCCCAAACACTGAACTGGGCATGCTAGACTTCGTTTACCCCTTTCCTCCCACCACCCTGACCCAACCCATCCAGAAGTCCTTTCCTTCTTCCTCCTCATAATTCCCAAAAGCTTCCTCTGCTCTATTACCCTCTGCCACAGCCCTAACTCTGCCATTAGCTCCTGTATAACAGCCCTAGAAGACACCCCCACCCCCATGCCATCCTAACTTGAGTCAGCTGCTCTCTGCACCAAGCATCTCTCTAAAGTGCAGGACTGCTGTGGGTACAGTGAGGGTCAGGGTGCATTGCTCCTAAACACGGCACCTTGGCAACTGTGACTCCTACAGGAACAGGAAGGCTGCTCTCACCTTCTCCACCTGCTCCCCCAATGCTGGTCATAACCCCAGCCTTGCCTGATGCAGATAAAAGCGCCCTCCCTACACGTGAGAGAAAGGCTGTCCTCAGCCCTGAAGATACAAGGAGCACAGGAAGTTCTGAGCAAACAGGCCTTGCTGAGTTCCCCCTTTTGCTACCATTACCTCATACTACCTTGGTCCAATCACGCTCTGCATGCCTGTCCACTCTCATTAAAACTAAGCATCAAAACACCCAGCTCTCTCTGTTGCTTCAGGTCTTTATTTCCTTATTAAGGCTTCTGTGTCAAGTAAAACTTCTATTAAATACATGTGTCAGATTTTCTCTTGGTAATCTATCTTTTTGTTACAGGAGTTTCATCCATGAACCTAGCAATACGTGAAAAAAAGATACTCCAACATCTACACTATTTGGTGGGCTGGGAAAACGATACCCCAAGGCCTGATACCTTGACATGCCAAGAGGCCTCAAACCTCCCTCAAGATCAAGGTCGTGCTGACCTTCCCTCCCAGCACATGGAGAGGCTTTCTGCAAAATCCCCTTGGCCCCCCACCATGATCGGCTAGAATAGGAGCACAATTGCCCTAGTCTTCTTGATGAAATGTCATTAACAGAGAAGACCAAACTCACCACAGGGAGAAAGACTGAAGTCTGTCAGAAAACCTGGACACACTGTCACACACCATTGTCCTCTATTTTGGTCCACAGAGAATCCCATACAAACCATGTCTGTTCTGTGGGCTGAAGGCACTTTGTCCAGATCATTTCATGTTCTTTAAGCCCATGGAGCTCCCCTAAAAATCATGTGCTTCTCTTCTCCCCTGACATTTCCCTTCTCACTTTCCCCTATGGAAAAAGGGATCTGTAAGTCTCTGAGTCACTCTGGGCTAATGGGTGATCACATTCCTGTGATTGTCCCCTGTGAATGATTATTTCCCATTCTAGCTGTTAATACCTCTGTACATCTTTCCTCCTATTTAATCTGCCTATGAGCAGATCACTCCAGCAAACCTTCAGAGGATGGAAAGGACATTTCCCTGTGTCCCCACACCATGTATCTTCCACTGAAAACCCTCCCATTTCCTGTCCTCATCCAGACATCTTTTGATGTTCCCAAGTTCCTGGCGACCAAGCCCATGCACCCTGACCCTGGATCGCCTCCCTCCCACACCCTGGCTATGCTCTGCTCCAACAGATGCTTTTAATGCCCATCTCTGGCCTCTGCATAGGGTGCTCTGTGCATCATCACCTTGGTCAGCTCATCCTTGAGGTCTTTGGATATACATTCCCTCTCCTAGGTAGCATTCTACCCTCTGCTCTGTCCTCAATGGCCTCTGTGGGGGGTCAGAGCGCCCACAGAGCACCTTGGCCTCTATCTACTCTTCCTAGAAGGCTGCACTGGACCACAGGGACCAAGCCTGCCCTGTTCCTGGCTGCAACCCCAGGGCCTAGAACCACTCAAGGAACAAAGAGGAAGGAATGAATGCAGGACTGGGTAAAAGAACCATCAATCTCTAACCCTTGCAATAGCCCTAGTAAAACAATATTACTACCCATTTTATGGTGAAGCAATTGAGTCTCACAGAAGCTAAGACAACTGCCTGGAGTCACACAGCTAGTAAATGTGGGAGCTGGGACCTATACCCATACTACTATCGCCCACTCGTCCTGAAGGTTCAGTGCTGTGATTATCTGATCCATGTTGCATCTTCCTTGATGAAATACAAAGCCTGCCAGCGGGGCCACCTGGAATACTACCTACTGCCTCTACATGCTCCCTTCAGAGATGTCCTAGGTAATGAGGCAGAGGGAGTGAAGCTTCAGCCTTGAGCCCCACTGCCCTAGGATATCCGAGCCTCCACCACAGTGGCTCATGCCTTACCCATTGGGCAGAGCAAGGCTGGTAAACCCTAGTGTGGGCCAGGTGGCAGTCTTGGCTACCAGCAGCACAAACCCCACTGAGGAAGCATTCAGGACCTCCCAAAGCCAGGCTGGAAAACTATCCTCAGCCAAAAGGTACAGAATCACTGCCACCAACATTTTTTTTGCATAAGGAAGGCTGGAAATATACAGATATATTCCTTAAGAGAAAGCAAGAAAATGCATAGTGGGAACAATGGGAAATATTGTTCAATTGAGACCCTGTCAAAAAACCATTCAAAATCACTGGCGGGTAATTTTTAAAACCGAACAATACACACTACACCAAGGTGCTCTTAATACAATTTGAGAGCTAGGTGTCCTCCTGTCTGCAACTCTAATTGCTGTGTGTGTTTTAGCAGCCTCGCTTAACGGTAATCTTCCTAAATGCACCCTGGTTCTTTCACAGAAGGAGGGGACAGCACTGTGACTGGCTGATCAGCAGGGAAGAAAGCAGGAAGACTGCTGAAAGGGCCCATCCATATTCCCAGCTTTTATGTCCATGAATTTGTTTTCCCATCACCCGCCTCTCAAAGGCAGCTGAGTGGCATTTGCACATTAAAATGCCCCTGTGTTTCTGTGCTATACCCAGGTCCACAATACCCCTTGCATAACTACAAAGCAGCCTGCTTTGCACAGGGTGCTCGGTGAATACGCACAGGCATAGCGTTGTTGAGGGTGTTGTTGTAGACGCAGGCACGCAGTGAATAATCGAGCATGCAATTTTCAAACAGCTGCAGAGCTTCTGTCACTTTTTCATGGAAGTCATCTGCAGATTTATTCGAACTTGCAAAGTAGAGATAGTCTGAATACAACCTGTGAAAAAAATAAATGGATAATTTTACCATCTACCCATGTGAAATCTCGTCCTTTGGGTGACAATGAAAATCAATGTGCAATTACATTATCTCATTTTGTTCATTAAAACACAACCATTCCTCTCCTTCCCTTGCAGACAAGGCCCCTACCTGCTTCCCTTCTTGCTGCTGTTCCTCACACAACACCCAACCTTCCCGCTTAGACATGTCTACACTGCTCTCAACAGCAGTCATCCAGTGGGCTTGGTTTTTGTTTATTTATTTTTAATTCTTTATAGTTACCTCCCTTTGAGGCTCTGTTTCTACATTAAATCACAACAATCATACAATAGCAGAGAAGCCACAAAAATTTTGTACACGTTCCCTTCCTCTCTCCTCTTGGAGGGATCAAACACAGACTGTCTGTCACTCTCGCAGTATTACAATCCCTATTGAAACTCCTGGCTCTTCCCACAGACATTCCTAACATTTTTAAAAAGTATTAAATGTATCTGTCTAGACTCCTAGGGACCTGTTCTGTTACCCAAGGTCAAAGCACCCACATGTATGCATCAAACAACTGCAGCCAACTGTGTTACCCCAAGGGCTCGGACCTGTGCACACAAACACACTCATGTGCATGTAACCATGTTTCCCATAGAAGCTGATGGTCTTCTATGACCAAAGTTGGCTTTGAACCACCCTGTTTCAGCAAGAATCCTGTTGCTAAAGAAAACATGTGAGAGGTCAATGTTTGGGGCTGAGCTTTCTTAGACTGGGGCCAATAGTCCAGATCAAATCAGCACTGAGTCACTCACTCCCCTAGGTGCCTGATAGTCAAAGTGAATTCAGAAAGGTTGGTTTACCATGACATAGAAGGCGCACCAACCAATCAAAGGGGGCCCAGTCAACCCGGGCCAGCATGATAAGGAAGTCTCCTCTGCTTTAACCAGTACCGAAGAAGCAACTGAAACAACTAATCTACTTCACGTTTTCTGCTTCCACAGTCTTCTGCCTATACTGTCCACCCAGTCTGCTCAGCTCATCGGGACACCTTTCTATTGCAAGAATAAAATGCCATCCAGTTCATGAATCACATTCATAAAAGCCAATTCAATCCTGAAACAAAATCTGTTGACTGTTTTCAGACACTGCTAAGCTGCTTTAGTCAGAATTCCCCATCATCTGGCTCTAATCACCCTCTGATATGATTGGTTCTCCCGGTCCACATGTCTGGCTATCTTCAGCCAGAATGCTACAGGGCTATGGGGTATAGATCCTATAGGGCATAGCTAGAATCTCCCTTTTCCTGGAAGTTTCCCCTCAGTTGTTTTCCACCCACCAGTCCCTCACCCAGCATCTGGATATAAAATCCATTTTTTTTCATACGTTTTGAGTTGAGCCCAATCTCTCTCCTCTATTCCCATCATAACAATCCCTATTCCTATTGCAATAGCCCTGAATAATGTCTGCTTTTTCATTTTAGCAAATGTCAGGATGATTTTTTATTAACAGAGCTTCTGAGCTGTGAGTCTTCTCCTCTTTTCTTCTCCTCCATTTCTGCTTGCAGAGAAGCTAAGAATTTCCTGTTTTTAGCTTCATGAATCCCCCTTGGTTATTGTTTATTCCAGATATTTCTTCCTTCTTTCTTCTTTCTTCTTCTTTTTTTTTTTTTTCGGTACAGGGGATTGAACTTGGGTCCTTCTGCTTGTGAGGCAGGTGGCAGAACCACTGAGCTAAATCCCCAGCCCATCCTTCTTTCTTCTTGATACACCTCCTCATACCGTCACAGTTCCACCAGTGCCCTTCACCCACTTAGACAAGCCCCAGCTGCACTTCCTGCCAGGGTGAAGCCAGGCTGATGCCAGATGTGACCCCATGGCTCTAAGTAGACATGCTCTCTGCTCAGCTCCATATCTCTTATTCCCCTAACATCTCCAACCTGTTTTCCTTTTCCAAGTGAAAACAATTCTGACTGTCATTACACACCACAGATCTGGTGTTGTATATCTGCACTGACAATCACACCAGGTGTTTCCACCTGGGACTCAGCCACACACACCTCTGTAGAAGTTGTGGTCTCCTTGCCCAGTGAGCAGCAGGGTCCCTCCTCCAATACCCTTGTCTCTAGTTAGTTACATCGTAATTCCTCACATGTCCTTTCTTAGGGATCAAAGCAGATCTTATCTCTGGAGCACCACCCCACAGAGTACTTCTGCAAGGCCCTCGAGAATTCATCCTTGGCCAAAGGTTGCCTCTTAGACATCTTAATATCTTTTGGGAGGGGTCCACAGGTTGTCTGAATCCACACATATGCCAGAACAGATTGTCTTGTTGATTTCACCCTGGTCAGTCAAACTCTCCAAAAGGACTTGCCTTAAGATGAGTCATTAAAATGCTAAGTGACAAGAAAGAAAACTGGACACATATGAGTATATCCCCTGTGTTATCAGTCAACTACTGGAGCCCCAACCTCAGCTGTGCTATTTTCTTTCTTCAAAGAACATGCACCAAGACTGAAACATACCACTGCGGGCTATCACTACAGGCCACCCATAACAGGACCTAAAGGCTGACTGATAAACGCCTGTCAGATTTGCATGGACGTCAGCGTGTGGCTCAGCTGCATGAGCCAAGGGTTCTCATGTGGCAATGTCCGATGGGTGTTCTTCCCAGCTCACATATTTCCTATCAGTCCTAGCAACAACATGGCCCAAACCAACTATGTCAGAGGAAATTAATCAATGCTTCTGAAACTGTTGATGAAGGCTACATTTAATAAGCCCAAGCCCGGAGTTCTTACTAAGGACACCCACAGAACTATCCAAATCATTCAATGGAATTAGATTTCTAGCACATAAATTCCTTTGTAAAACCCATTGTACTGAGATTTTTTTCCCCTTATGGTATAACATTTCTTGTGGACATTTGGCTTATAAATAAAACAAGAGTACTGAAGCCTGCCTTGATTTTAGATGCAAAATAACTTTATGGTAAAGAGCAAAATAGAAGATAAACAAGAAGTAGGAAGAAGTTCAAATCTCCAAATTATCTATTCCATTGTTTCAAAAATAGTTTAAGATATATGCCAATTTGTTTCATTTATACTATGTTTCTTTTTGTTCATTGCAAAGAAAGTTTTGTCCTTTTGTTTGCTTCTTCTTTGTAAGAGAGAGTCTTATTGTGTATGACTTGTACTCTGAGTAACATTTTGGCCATTTTTTTTTTTTTTAGTAACCAATTTTTTTTTTTATTCATCTTAGATTTTAGGCTGCTTTTTGTCTTTGGAGGCTTTTAAAAAGAAAAACGAATTAGGTCCACTTCAATGTCCACTGATTTCTTTTTATGAAAGTTACATAATCCTGGCAGGTCATATCGAAGCTCTGTAATAATATCTATCTTGATTTTCCATTCTGCAGCTTTTTTCCGAACATGCTTTATTATTTTTGGTCCCAAAGAGAGGATTCATAATCACTGTGCCAAATCACTTGGGCATTCTGTTAGATAATGAACACACATCATACTAAATCATATCAACATTTGTTAATTCAAACTCTTCCACATTCCTATTAAATATTTCCAGTGCATCTTCATCTATGTCGAATCCAACACACATCCCTGCTGCTAACTTTGCAGTTCCAATGCTAAGCATTCCACAACCACATCCTCGATCTGCAACCACTTTATTTTCAATGTCATCGTATGTGTTATGGATTGTATAGAGCATACAAGCTGCAATGAGCAGCCGGGTTGGATACTGTTCTAGACGGAGCTTGCCATCCACTTGTTGAAGGTGACTCTTTGGTTCTCTAAACTTTAACTTCATTTTCTTTCTTTTTTTGCTATGTGCTCACTCACAGGGCTTAACTTCATTCGATGTGCACAGAAATCTAACCAGATCTTTTCTTGCTACTCCCACTCGTCATGCTAAGCCCCTTTTCAGTGCCACTGCCTGGGGACAGGACAAGAGAGGCGGGGATGCACAGACAGCCTTGTCACACCACCGAGGTGTCCCACACTGGCCTCAGGCCCGTGGGAGACCGTGACGGTGCGTGGAGGGGTACAGTCCCTCATTCAGCGAACCTACACCCCTGGAGACCACTACTAAAACAGGCTGTCGGCCATTCTTTTAAAATCATGATACACAGTACATTAACTATTGCTAGTCTCTAATTATTGTTATAAAATTTTATTTTTTATGGAAGAGTACTTATTATATTTTCTTTATTAATATTTACTTTATTACATTAAAATAAAAAATTTTAACATCACGAAAAAGTCTACAATTCCACACAATTCTTCAGAGGTCAAGGAGTAATCCCAGGGGGAAAACTGGGACATGTCCAGCATTCCAATCAGGCAAAAGCACCCCACCCAGGTGAGACTGTGAATTTCCATCCATTTGCAGTGCATTGAGGTGAACACACAACCCACTTCTGTGAGTCACAACCCACTTCCTTGAGCCTTCGGTGTTAGTTGCCAAATGGTGAGGGGGGAGATGTGGATCTTCTTGGATGAGCAAAGACTCAGCAGAAAGCAGACCCCTTCTGCAGTCCTGAAGTCCTGACCAGTTGGTAGAAGGCCAGCCCACTTCTTCAACAGGGTGACAGGAGACTTCTATGGCCCCTTAGACAACTTCATGTTGACTCTGCCCACAGATCGATCAGGTGGGCTTCAGAATTATCTGGACCCCCACCACTAGACTCCATGCTAGAGGTCCTTAACATCCTGCTTTGTCAACAAACATCTGAGCAGAGACTTCATTCATCTTAACATATGGCCACCACCTCCTGTCTGTATTAAACAGCCGACGACAAGTGATATGTCCAAGTTCTAATCCTGGCTGCCAGTGAAATGTGATCTTAATTGGAAACAGGGTCTTTGAGGGTGCTGTTAAGTTGAGGATCTTCAGATGAGAACATCTGGATTTAGGATGAGTCCTAAATCTGATGATCAGTGTTCTTATGAAGGAGAGGAGAGAAGAAGGCGCAGAATGTGATATGTTGTGATCTGAAGACA